AACTCTAATTTTGTGCGAAAGTATTTTTCCAAATCAAATGCTTCTAGAGCCACTTTTGTGGAGCATTGAACGGGCTTTTAAGCGATAAAAAAGATTTTCTCTAAATTATTTTCGCTAAGATAACAAAATACAAAGACCAAACATAAAACAATAACAGTTTTTTGTCGATTAATTTTAAGATACTTAACGTTCTCAGAAATATTGGATTTTCATAAATGTATCTTTTATGTATATTTAGTCGTTATCAACAAGAATCAAGTTATTACATCAAAAGAAAAGTTCATTAACTATACAGTAAGTTGAAAATTATATAAGAATCTACAAGTTGTCCTTGGCGACAAAAATCAAAAGTGTGTAAGCCATTTTCTAGAGAATCGAGTTCTACGTTGAATGGTATGTCAAATAAAACTTTTGGAAAAATTTCTTGGTGAAAAAATTCAAAATACGGTTTTTGAAAAGTTTGAAACCCGAGTTTCGATGGCAAAATCCAGTTTTTTAATGAACAAATGTCAAGTTCATAATTAGCATAAAAATTTGCATTTAATCGTACATTTAGATCTATTTAACTCCAAAAAAGAAAATTTTCAAAAACTTAATCAATGAAGTGTCGCATTACGTGAACGAGGAAACAGCTCATTCCTGAGCCGTTTATCGATCTTCCAGAGAAAACATGGGTTTGACTTCGAATCAAATCCGATTATTTAGTGAACGATATGTTTGTGGTTTTGAATTTAGTTCTATTCTTCATTACTTTATTGTTTTTGATTTATTTTTTATATTCAATGTTCGAACAAGAGATGTAACAATACCAATACGATATTGAAGTTTTGGTATCAGCAATACTAGTATCAATAAGCTTTATGTAAAAAGCCTTTGCCCAACATGCTAATCAATGTTCGCCTACTTAGAAATTACTGGAGAAACTGAAAGGTAACCAGATGGAATCTGAATTTCATATTCTTTCTAAATTTATATTCAAAATTTGTATTCTAGTTTAAAGGTAATTCTTTACGAAGAAATCTTTCACAGAGTCCAAAAATAATGTTTGTGCATAATTTTTCATGTACTTTAGTTTTGTATTTTGATTAAAAAGAAAAAGTATCTCAATTCAAATTCTGAGAAAGCATTTTTATATATTACGATGTAGAGCTAGCTTGCTATACAAAATCCTCAGTTTGTTTCACTTTTTAGATATTAATACCAATGATCAAAATCTATTACACTGTAAATATCGAAATTCGAAAGAAGTATTTTTTTTATATTGTCGTCTCACATAAAGAGTAACTAATCAAAAATTGTACATAGACTTTAGTTCTTTATGAGTTCTAGTTTCTCTAATGTATGATTTACTACAAAATAAGAATCTATACAGCACTAAAAACTCAAAAGAACCTCAAAGTCTCATTGAAAGAAGTTATGAATAGTAGAAAAAAACTTTTATTTAGTAACTGAACAGATATATTTACCAATATTTTTTAAATTAGCATTGTGTAAAAACGTCGATTTCGATCGCCATTAGATATTTGTTTCCAATGAACAAACTTTCAGTTAAAAAAAAATTCTTAATATATATAGTAAAATCTTCCATAGTGAATACCTCTGTATATTGGATACTTTGCGATTCTATGAAGGGTTTTTTGCTGGAATTCAATTTCTGTATAGTAGACATCATCAAATAGTTTAATGATGAATACTTTTGAACAGTCCCAGTGGTGCCCATGACTTGAAGATTTTACTATTTTTTTTTTACAGTGGTTAATTTTTTTATGTATTAACACCCTTCAGATTCTTAGAAAAGGCGCCTATTCCTAGTAAAACATTGTTCTTAGAATCAACAATTGGCCTCCCTATAGTGAACACTCGTGAAAAGTATGAGAGATGCCCAATATAGAGAGGTTATACTATAGTTCGAACAAGCAATAAATTATAGGTTTGGAACCTCTAGCATCTTCAACACCGTTCGGCATCTTTTCGTATTGACAGTTCTATAGTATTTATACAAATTCAGCATTAGCCTGGAATTTAATATGATAACAATGAATAAGAGTCATGTTATTTCGACTCGATTGTATCAAACAACACAAGGTTATTTTTCAAAAATAACGAGCAATTTTTTCGTAAAACTTGACTGAAGTTGTGTGGCGGTTGAAAAATCGAAATCTAATGGGTTTTTCGAAATTCTAAAGTTCGATTGTTTATGTTAGCTGAAACCTATTTCTTGCGATGTACTCACGCTTCATATTACTTAGCTATTTGTTTGAAGTAGGTTTTCGCTGATCGAGAAAATCAAACTCGAGAGTTTGGAAAAATCGATTTGCCATTCGTATTTCTCGACTTCAAATGCCTTTAGTCATGTTTTATAAAGAAGAAAAAACGTTATTTTTAGAAAATAGTCTTGTGTTGATTGAAAAAAATCGAATTGAAACATTATAATTCTTACTCATAACTATCACTTTTTTTTTCTTGTGTAATTCCAAATATGCATGGATACCGCTGCACTCATTTCTTCAGTTAGAAAGAGTATAAAATTTTGATTCTAGCTGATTATCTTCGATTCTCTTCAGTGATTTATAAGTAGACGAAAATCAATCAGGCATGTTCTATCAAGACTTAATACATGTAGTTTGCCGATCCATACCAAATCCTATTGGTATTAATACATTCGTAATTATAACTTTCCTATACATTGTTTTGTAGTGTTCTTCATGAACTTGTTCTTTTCAATTTATTCGATATGATGTGCTTTTATCACTTCACTTGATAGTCATAATATTCAGTATAGAGCATTGAATAGAAAGATTCTTTTTTTTTTCATTTGATGTTTCAAAGTTTTTTTTATTCTTTTTATTCTCTTTCTCATCAGTTGATGTTAAACACTCAAAAAATAACTAACACAATATAACATAACAAAAAAAAAAAAAAGGAAGACAACAAAATAGTTTAGTTCTTTAATCAACTTCTTCCATTCGTGAGGCATCAGCCGAAACAGAAGCCGAATTGTCTCCACCGGTTTCAAGTGGTGGCATATCTGTACTTGAATCACCAGCCGCTGTATGACTTTCTTCTGTAGCATCTTCTTCATCAATACCTAAACCAAGTTTAATCATGCGAAATATACGATCAGCATGTTGTTGTGGTAATTCAAGAGCAAAACCACTAGCCAAAAGTGAAGTTTCATATAATAAAGTAACTAAATCTTTAACTGATTTATCATTTTTATCTTGATCAACTTTAGCTTTAAGTGTTTTTATAATTGAATGATCAGGATTAATTTCAAGATGTTTCTTAGCAGCCATATAACCCATTGTAGATGTATCACGTAAAGCTTGAGCTTTCATAATACGTTCCATGGTAGCTGACCAACCATATTGTGATGTAACTAGAAATAATAGAAAACGATTAAGAAAAATTCGCTTTTTTTGTTTTTCTATGAACTTACCAATACAACATGGTGATGAAACAAGTCGATTACTGATAACAACTTTTTCGACTTTTTTGTCTAAAATATCTTTCATTACTTTACATAATGTTTCATATTTTTCTTTATCTTGTTCACGTCTAGAAAAAAATAAATTAAATAACAAATTTTTTAGTTAGGTAAAAGAAAATAGAAATTTAATTTTTTTTTTTACATACTTCTTCTTTTCATCTTCATCTTCAGGTAATTCTAAACCTTCTTTTGTAATTGAAACAAGTTTTTTGCCTTCAAATTCTTTTAATTGTTGTACACAATATTCATCAATTGGTTCTGTCATATAAATAATTTCATAACCACGTTTACGTACACGTTCAACAAATGCTGATTGATCAACAATTTGTCGAGATTCACCAGTTATATAATAAATATCTTTTTGATTTTCTTTCATTCGTGATACATAATCTTTTAATGATGTTACTTCATCACCTGATGTTGATGAGTGATAACGTAAGAAAGCGGCAAGTTTAGCACGATTTGTTGAATCTTCATGAATACCTTTAATAGAAAAGAAAAAACAAAAGAAGATAGATTAAAATGAGTTAATTTCAAAACCAAAAAAAAAGAATGAAAATTTTAATACATACCAAGTTTAAGATTACGTGAAAATTGTTCATAAAATTTCTTAAATGATTCTTTATCTTCTGAAATTTCTTCCATTAATTCAAGACATTTTTTAACTAAATTTTTTCGAATAACTTTAAGAATTTTATTTTGTTGTAACATTTCACGTGAAATATTTAATGGTAAATCTTC